GCGCGCGCGCGCGTGTGTGTAGTATATAATATAAAATATTTTGTTTTTATTATAATATCTACTTTTAAACGTATATTATACATCTTGCAATATAAATATATAATACATACCAGCCAAAATCACAACCGAAAGATCAAATATTTCAACTTCCATTATTTCTTTTTGAATCTCGTGACTGCGTATCTTTTATTATTCTCGTTTCCTATGTTGAACGTCGACCACCTCGTTAGCTGACTTTACTTTGTCTCCGACCAAATTTCAAAAGCCGTACGAAAGTGTTTATGTTTCTCTCTTTTCTAAATATTTTAAAACTACGACCTATGTCGATTTTGTTTTGAATATATCGTGTGACAGATCTCTTTGTTTGATGGTAATAATTCTATTGAGAATAAATTTTGCAAAATGTTGTACGTTTCAGTAAGAAAAGCAATAAGTCCATTATATCGACATAATAAGTTACATTACATTATATCAACAGAATTGCAACAGAAATTAAACAATGTTTGCAAAATGACAGATTATAAGTCGCAAAAAACAAACGCAGATTTGACGACACATCTGCTGTTCGTAATCATCGAAATTATTTTATATATAATTTAATAATAAAATGAAACGAGAGAGAGAGAGAGAGAGAGAGAGAGAGAGAGAGAGAGAGAGAGAGATTAAACCATCTTCTTATCTAATTGGATACGTGCAAAATAAATGTGTAGATGTAATAAATAAATAATATAAATATAAAAAAGTAAAAGTTTTTTAAACATAATGTTATAATTATCTATTTGATAAAATTTTCGAAAAGATTATATGTCATTGTTACTTTAATTTTCACATATGTCTTCTCAACATAAAAATTTTGATCCTGAGATTTCATGTAGCTTTTGTGCAGCATAAAATAATTATCATTATTTTCCATTTGTGTGCGTGCGTACGTGCGTGTGTGTGTGCGCGCGCGCGCGTGCGCGTGTGTGTAAAAGGATTATCATTTTTTAAAGATTTTCTGTTAAAAAAAGATTCGTTCCTTTAACTTTTCGAGCGGATTATATAAATTTTCTTATTTGTACACATGAAAGATGATGTAAAATTGATATTTCAATACATTTTGCTTTATATTCACATATCTTGAAAGTTATATATTATATGTTTTAAAATAATTTTTTAAATTCAAATATTACTCCCGCATTATTCGATGATTAACAAGACCGAATGGAAGTTCATTCCGCACGTTCATTCTGAAGTTACATGTGTAGTGTAAGAGGGTCTAAAATTCTGAGATTTGTAATTTAAAATTGATTATATTTGTGTCACTAACATATAAAAATATGTCAGTATTATTGTACTTTACATTAATAATTACAAAATATAATTATTGTAAAAATATATGTTGTCATTAAGAAGATTTTATCAAATGCTATATTTCTATTTCTATATATAACATCGCATAATATAAGATAGTGTTATGTTAAAAAAAAATCGTATATATTCATGATTGGCAGAGAATATATAAAAATTTTTCGGAAGCTCACTTTTTCTTAACGAAAAAATGTTGAGATGACAGTATAATATATATAATATTATTATTACAATATACTCTCTAAATATGAATTAGTGGATAATGATATCAGTGCTAAAAGTCACTGCTAAAACCACTGGGTAATTATAGCGATTATTCACTTCAAATTTAGAGTGTACTATTACAATACATATATTATAATATAATATTTAACATAATGTTTATAATATTATAATATTTATAATATTTAGAATATTATAATATATATATTGTATATATTAAATTAGAATATATACGATATACATATTATGATGTTAACATAACTGCATAATATTAATTTCAAATAATTAATTCTTAAATTTTAAATATTAGAAAGTGGCTTTAATTGTTACAAAGGTTAAATGAAAAAGAGCATACAGCCACACTTTAAATACCTAGCGCCTTCCCGGTCCTAGTGTTAAGATGTTGAACTACTATCCAATATACATTCAATTAAATTGAATTAATATTTCAGAATTAATTGAGAGCCGATAAAATTTAAGCCGATAAATATTAATTCAATTTAATTGAATGTATATTGGATAGTAGTTCAATATCTTAACACTAGGACCGGGAAGGCGCTAGGTATTTAAAGTGTGGCTGTATGCTCTTTTTCATTTAACCTTTGTAATTAATTCTTAATTAATTTACAAATCATTCTATGATTTTTTGCAAATTATAGTGGAAACTATAAAATCAAGCAAAAAAAAAAAACAAGAAATCTATTCACTTGTCAAAAAAAAAAGGGGAAACTTCAAATTAAAGATTAATTTGAGTTGGTCTTTAATAAAAACTTAATCCGCGAAATTGCTATAAATAAAAGAATGCGGAATGGTAAACTTTTGAAATCTTGAAACAAATATTATGATCTTCCAATGATTTCGCTAAGAAAAAATTTTCGTTGTATTTATCAGTATAAAACGACAAAATAATCTTCAATTTCTTCCTGCCAATTGTGTGTAGTACCTCACGTATGAATGTTCTTTTTATATAAGTGTGATTACTTCATTTAGGGCTAATTGTTTCACCTTTCGATAAATTTACGCATTAGATAAATAGCAAGATTATTCAATCTCATGAACACATTTGACAATTTACCTATGCGTAAAATTGACCGGAAGGTACAACCGGCCCTTAGATCTTATTCAAACATAATTTAAGCGGAATATAATTAAATCATTATAATTATAATTCAATAATATAGTTAAATAACTATGTAAATATATGCAAACGTTTGTTTTGCTAGTCAATCGAGAACAATTTGGACATTTTTCAGTTGCCCGTAAATATCGCCGTTAAAAATGCTGAATTCGCGTTTAACTTTGGCACCTCTGGCGTGTGGCTCGGTAGTAATAGAAGCGCGTTACTGTATTGATATTTTGTCATTTGCTCATGTTCAGAATTCAGGCAGTAAGCATTTGCATGTATATCCATGCTCTTCTCCGACCACTCAATCGATGTCCACGACAATTTTGGACGCGGGTGCAAGTTGTGAGATGTTTTTATCTGTAACGTTACGGTACCAATTAATATATCAATACGCATATGTATATTTTCATGAAGGACGCAAAAAGACGAGTCTTACGCCAGTCTGTATCTGCATAATACCATTGTCTTTATTGCAGCATAGTATGTTCAATAACGGCAGAAGCAATACATGCGTGACAATGGGTACGGTCGTTGGGTTTGTCGACATACACAGGAAGAACTTCCTCTTCTGTTCGAACGTACACGTTGCAAATGTTGTTGATTTCCCTGGTTTTATGTTCACGCCACCTAAGTCAGAAAAAGAAATGCAAAAAGATGTGTCAACGTATTACACCGACGATTACAAGAAGAATAATATACCGAAATGTATATTAGCGTTGAAAACTATCTTTAAGATGCGCTTCAATATATCTTTGTCGTTCGCACGGCCCATTATCACGAGTAAGTCAACTTCGTTCAAAGCTTCCTTGAGTCTGTATTCTATAATATTCGGCCTGCAAAAATATGAAAATCAAGTCAAATCAAGAGCGGCGACAACATTACTTATTTATCAAGTCGAATCTTACCGTGGTTAGCGGAATTGTAATAAATTTTTGTTACACTTACGTATAAACCGAAATTCCAAAGTCTATAAGATTATAACCATTCTTTTTTAATAACGAGGACACAATTATCTTGTTGCAGTCGTATATGCGTTCTATAGTTGAAGCGTTTTCAGGTTTTAATACATCATAACCGATACATAGCAGACCTACAGATGGAACTTTAAAGACTTTAATTGAATCGATGCCACATAATGTCAAAACGCCCAGGTCCGCTGTTTTAACACGAGTGTTTTTGCGTTTAATAATATCATTGGTTCGTATTTCGCAGCCAGCCTCTCTTTAAAAGCAAAGAAATTATTTTGTAATAATAGAATAAAGTTCTTTGAAAAACATATTAAACGATATCGAAATATCTTCGTATACCTAATATTTTCACCCTTTTTTGGAGCAACTAAAATCTTAATTTGATATTCCATGTGGTCGATATTAAAACAATCATCATTATCATGTTCACTTATTATCTGTGTATCCACAGACTTTACAACTGCCGTTGCTCCTGTAATCATAAATAAAAGTAACAATTAATCCATAGGTACACAAGTGTAATGTGCAATTATAATTGATTTTACCATCGGGTATAGCATCTCCACTTCTTACTCGCATGCAAGTGCCAGGTACGATCGAAATCTTTTTAGTTAACTAAAAAAGAAGTAGTGTTTTACGAAGATTTAGCTTCAATAATTAAATTGCAATCAACTTATTCAACATCTGATTTAATCAATAAAATTATTTTCTGCAAAATTTGTGACCGCACAATTTACCAATCGTGATTTTTAATATTCCTTTCGTCTTATTCTGCCAATGTAAATTAATTTTAATCTCGCCTTAATATTTATCTTTTTTTAGTTCTTAGAACTAGAAAAAGATAAAAAGTAAGTTAAATTAAAATTAAATTAATCTATATTGATAGAAACGAGTATTCCCACGATAATGTGGAAAACATATAATAATACCACATATCCTAGCAAAATCGTGCGAGTCGTTACTGTTGTTAATAGGAGCTCATTCTTACCGAGAGATCTGCTTTCAACACTTTTCTGACACCTTGCCCATCACTGGCCAAAACCGCGTATCCATGTTTACTGGAAGTCATACAAGACGGCACGTTTACATAAGAATGTATGTCTTTGGCCATTATTCTGCCATAGGCATTATTCGTAGGTACAATTACTGTACAATGTGTATAATATTTATTTACTACTTTTATCATTATATCTCTTGCCTTTTCCAGTGATACCAATTCGCTTTTCTTATGTTTCTTATATAAGTCCTTCAGTAATAAGGTTTCCTGTAAAGAGAGTTGGTTACAATTCGCGTATATGCACTCTGGTGGAAATTTGCCTTATTGTTTCGAGCGAGAAAGATATTTTACCATTATTTTAAGTTGTACCGATTGTTCTTCGCAGGAGAGATCTATCTTCTTATCAGAATTATGTTCGTCATTACTACTATTCTTAGGTGATCCAGCAGAATTATCATTATTATCATCATAAGATAAGTCATAAAAATTATCATCATCATCAAATGAGTAATTATTACCATTAATATTATTAATATTACTCTTAGATGGCCCAGCAGAATTATATATGTCATCATTATTACTCTTAGATGGCCCAGCAGAATTATATGTGTGATCATTATTACTGTTAGATGGCCCAGCATAATTATCATTTCCGTTATTATTACATAGCTCATAATTATCTCCTTCCTTCTTTACTTCAAAAGTCTGATTACTTGGGTCATTCATTAAGCTTACTATATCCAGTATTGTGTTTCCAAATGTTTCCAAACTTTCTTGCACATTTAAATAGGGGCCACACATATTAATAACAAGGTTCCCGTTTACTATTCCACATATCGGCCTGAAAATACATTAGAACCGTAAAAGCTGTAATCTCGAAAACTGCAGTATAAAAAACAAAATTTTACCGATTAATGAAACATTTTAGTCCCTCTGCTAAGCCTGGTATCAACATGTGTACGTCAATAGGAATAATCTTATCGATAACTTCTTCAATTGCGTCATGTACAATATCACTCAAAGTATTGCCAACAAATAAGATGACATTACCACTGTATTGAGTGCTCAGCAAAGTTAACTCTGCCTATATAAAACATAAATTAAACAAATTTATATATATATATATATATATATATATATAAACATGTATGAGTATTTGCGAGAAAGATATTTAAAAAATTATTTGTAGAAGTTACCTTTATTTTTTTTTGATCACATCTCACTATATGTATGACATTCACGTTTCCTGCTAAATTGTGTGCAATGTATTCTGCAATTAGAGTGGCTTCATCCATTTCTTTTTTAACATTTGTTTCATTTGATTCTTTCATTTGATCATCACTACTGGGATCATAATTATATGGATCATAATTATGTATTACTTGCTGTACTACATAAATAGAAATCAGAATAAAATTAGAATGTATACATTTCAAATCAATATTACACAAAATTACTAATAATCGAAGATACGCATACATAAAACAAAGCGTGCGTGCGTGTGTGTGTGTGTGTGTGTGTGTGCGCGCGCGCGCGTAAAATTATTTTTAATCTTTAAACATATTACTTTTATGCTTGATAGATTTTAAGGAAATCGTAATTATATATATTATAGATAAAATATTTTGTTTTAGATTTAATTAATCTATTCTTAATCATATGACATCTTGTAAAATAAATATACATACCATATATAATGACAACGTCTAGAGACATTTTGATTACTTTAGTTCTTCGTTAAACTCGTAATTGTGAGCTTTTATCGTTCTCGTCTTCTTATTTGATCTCAACCACCTCGATCGTTAGCTGACTTTACTCTGTCTAATCGAATTTCAAAACCCGTACGAAAATATTTATATCTTTCTCTTTTCAAAATATGTAAACAAGACGCTGTAACCTGTATTGATTTCGAACGCGTATCACGTGGCAAATTTCTAGCTTATGACTTTGATAGGTAACTGTTGAGATCAGATTTTACGAAATATTATAATATCTTTAAAAAAAAAAACAACAAGGTTTACTACAATATAAATTATATAAGGTAAATTATATTGACTGAATTGTAAAAAAAAATCGAACAAAATCTGCTAACGACAGATAATCGAAATTTACTTTTCATATTCATTTGAATTGTTTCTATTATTTATTATAATCTAACCATAAAATAAAATAATTAAATACATGAATAAATAAATAAGAATAAATAATAGAAGGTTTTTTAAATTTAATAAGAATAAATAATAAAAGTTTTTTTAAATTTAATAATTATTTATCGAAATTTATGTGTTATACATGATTATGTAT